GCACCTTCAGCTCCGATTAGTGCACCTCCGATCCAGAGTTATCAGGGTGATTATTCATGTCGACAGGGTCAGTTCCAGGGTCAGCAGTCACAGCAGCCGAGGACTTGTTATACTTGTGGAGATCCTAGGCACGTCGCGAGGTCATAAAGCAACATGCCATAACAGGGTAGTCGTGCCATAGTTTCACCACCGGTTGCTCCACCACTCGCTCAGCCAGATAGAGGCGAGGGTCAGGCAGCCCAAGGAGGTGGTCAGGCCATTAGAGGTGGAGGTCAGCGAGGTAAAGACCATTCGAGAGGTGGAGAGCCCCATTTTTATGCATTCCCAGCTAGACCTAAAGTAGAGTCGTCCGATGCGGTCATCACAGGTATTGTTCCTATTTTCCATAGAGATGCCTCAATTTTATTTGATCCGAGTTCCATGTATTCGTATGTGTCATCCTATTTTGTCCCATATTTGGATATATCTCGTGATTCTTTGAGTGCTCATGTTTATGTGTCTACCTACGCCTGTTAGGGATCCTACTGTGGTAGACCGTGTCTATCGATCATATGTGATCTCTATCGGGGGTTATGAGACTAGGGTAGACCTTCTTTTACTCAGCATGGTGGACTTTGATGTTATTTTGGGCATGGATTGGTAGTCACCTTATCACGCTATTCTATATTGTCACGCTAAGACCGTGGCATTGGCTATGCTGGGATTGCCACAGTTGGAGTAGAGAGGTTCAGTGAGTCATGTTCCTAGCATGGTGATATCCTTTCTGAAGGCACAGCGGATGGTTGATAAGGGGTGCTTGGAATACTTAGCCTTTGTGAGGTATGTTAGTACTGATACTCCTACCATTGAGTCAAATCCGGTAGTGAGAGAATTTTTAGATGTGTTCCCAGCAGATCATCCAAGCATGCTGCCTGATCAGAATATTGATTTTGGTATTGACTTGGTGTCGGGCACTCAGCCCATCTCTATTCCACCATATCGCATGGCACCTATAGAGTTGAATGAATTAAAGGAACAGCTTCACGAGTTGCTTGATAAGGGTTTCATCTGACCGAGTGTTTCGCCTTGGGGTACTCCAGTTCTATTTGTGAAGAAGACAGACGGCACTATGAGGATGTGTATTGACTACAGAGCTGAACAAGGTTACAGTCAAGAAAAAGTACCCACTACCACGTATTGATGATTTGTTTGACCAGCTTCAGGGTGTTAAGTTGTTCTCGAAGATTGACCTGAGATCGGGATATAATCAGTTAAAGATCCAGGCTTTAGACATTCTGAAGATGGCTTTCCAGACCGCTATGGTCACTTCAGCCCCAGCAGCCTTTATGCACTTGATGAACAGTGTGTTTCAGCCATATCTTGATTCCTTCATCATCGTGTTCATTGATGATATATTGGTGTATTCTTGCAGTCGAGAGGATCATGAGCAGGACATAAGGATTGTGCTCCAGAATTTGAGAGAAAAGAAGCTTTATGCTAAATTCTCCAAGTGCGAGTTTTGGCTTGATTCGGTGGCATTCTTGGGCCACGTGGTATCCAGTGAGGGGATAAAGGTGGATCCAAAGAAAATTGAGGCATTTCAGAGTTAGCCCAGACCTTCTACTGCTACTGAGATCCAAAGTTTCCTTGGGTTAGCTGGATATTATCGCCGTTTTGTGGATGGTTTTTCATCCATCACAACTCCTTTGACTAGATTGACCCAGAAGGGTACTCCTTTCAGATGGTCCAACGAGTGTAAGGTAAGCTTTCAGAATCTCAAGACTGCATTGACTACAGTCCTAGTGTTTATGTTGCCTACGGGTTTGGGATCTTACACCGTGTATTGTGATGTGTCGCGTATTGGGCTTGGTGCACTGTTGATGCAGAACGGTAGGGTGATTGCCTACGCATCTTATCAGTTGAAATTTCATGAGAAGAATTACCCTATACATGATTTAAAGTTGGTAGCCATTGTTCATGCGTTTAAGATTTGGAGAAATTTTCTATACGACGTTCCATGTGAGGTCTATACCAACCATCAGAGTCTCCAGCACCTGTTCAAGCAGAAGGACCTTAATTTGCGGCATCAGAGATAGTTAGATATGCTGAAAGACTATGATATCACCATATTATATCATCTAGGGAAGGCCAATGTAGTGGCCGATGCATTGAGTAGGAAGGTTGAGAGTATGGGCATTTTGGCATATTTACCGGTAGAGGAGAGGCCACTAGCTATGGATGTTTAGGCTTTGGCCAATCAGTTCATGAGGTTGGTTGTTTCGGATCTTAGCAGGGTTTTTGCTTGTGTTGTGGTACATTCATCATTGTTATAGTGTATCAAGGCTCGACAATTTGATGATCCTCACTTGTTGGTGTTCAGGGACACGGTGCAACGGGGTGGTGCTAAGGAGGTTATGATTAGAGATGATGGGGTTCTGCGGCTTCAAGGCCAAATTTATGTTCCAAATATTGATGGGTTGAGAGAGTTGATCCTTGATGAGGCTCATAATTCGCGCTATTCCATTCACCCATGTGTCACGAAGATGTACCGTGACTTGAAACAGCATTATTGGTGGCAGAGAATAAAGAAAGATATTGTTACTTATGTCTCTCGGTGATTGAATTGTCAACGGGTGAAGTACGAGCATCATAAACTGGGTGGATTGACTCAGAGATTGGAGATACTGGAGTGGAAGTGGGAGCGCATCACTATGGATTTTGTGGCAGGCTTACCACGGACCTTGAGGAAATATGATGCAGTCTGGGTCTAGAGTCACTTTTCTATATCTACTATATTGTTTTCATTTTATTTCGGACAGTGTTGTATTTCTTTGAAAATCTTGTATTTAGCTGAATCTAGACGCTCATGCACTTGTGACACGAGATCTTGGGGTAGTTTATGTTATGCTATTGACCATTTATTAGATATTTATTGCTTTTCTTTATTTTGTGTTATCTGTGGTGTTGGCTTGCCTGGCATTCGGTGTTAAGCATCATCACGGCACCGCGATTGAGATTTCGGGTCGTGACACAGTGGCGGACCCAAGTGGTGGCTAGAGGGTTCAACTGAATCCGCTTCACAAAAAAAAATAATACTGTGTATATGTATAAATTAGGATTAAAACTGTGTAAATTTTGCATAAATATTTTATTTGAACACATTTGACAACTACTATATTACGATTAAATTTATATAATTCTAAAATTGAACCCGATTGCACAAAATTCTGGGTCCGCCACTGTCGTGACATAAGGTTTTACCCAGTAATGGAGTTATTGTTTAACTTAAGTTAATCGTCTGTTTGCAAAATTTAGTATTTGTTAGAAAAAAACTTTCAAGGTATGATGTTTGTCTGGAACAAACTTTTAGTTAAAAATTATTATTATTTTCTTGCAGATTTATTATTGCATCCAATGTAAATTTATTTCGAATTGATGTGCAACTCCAGCATCTTCAGAGAAGTGAAATTAATAACTTAATTCTTATCCCCCATATTAATTCTTAGTGCATTTATTTTGCTTCCTTAGGCCTCCCGCAACCAATCGTATCAGTGCCATGCAAAGACGACTTTATGCCACCTCCAAAAACACATTTAAAAGAGAGCTTGAAGTGAGAAGATGATTCTCATTATGACACTCAGGGTACTAATACCAAAAATATTGATCCTCAAGTGTTGAAAGGTCGTGGCCTGCTCACTGAGTTTATTATGAAGTAAGAGAATTAGTAGGGTTCACTCTTACCAAATTAGTGCCTCTAGCTCATGTTTGCCTTGTTTCTCATACAAAATAAATTCCTCTTCAATAATAGGGGTATCTGGGAAGGCTGATCTCCTTATTTGCATTCATCTTAATGTATATGGTGTCGATACTATTTTTCTCTGTCTTAGATGTTTGAACACTTAGAAAGTGCATAATAGTATCGGCGGTTCTCTAGCAAATTATGCTCATTGTCCATTTGTGGACCATAATTGGACATTTACCTTTTTGTACCATCTTAATTATCTTTTGCATAGGCCTTACAAGTCGGGAATTTTATGTCACAGTTTAAAAGAAATATAACAAATTTTTAGCATGAAATCTAATATTACAACTGTAACAAGAAAATATTTATATTTATAGCACACAGTTCCATTAAAATAGGAATATTAATTATTAATCCCTAAATATAAACAATTTGAATGGAAAGTCAATAATTCTTTGTACAAAAATCATACCTTTTTTTCTCTTTATCTATTAGCTTTCCTTCTTTTTCTTCATCTTCTTAATTTTGTTTTTTGCCGAAGCCAATATATTTTCTAAATTTGTTCCATTCGTTTTCTTTCTAATTGCCTTTCTTAAGTTTTTCTCTTCCTTCTTTCTCCCTTTCTTAACATAAAAATCTTACTTCGATAATAATATACGTTAATATATACAAAACGTATATAAAAAAAATATACATTGAATTAACACATAAAATATACATAAAAAATACATCCTTAATTAAAAATGGCACTTGACATATAAAATTTATTTGAAATATACATTAAAAATACATCTTAAAATAAGATGACACTTCACAAATAAATATACAAAAATTATATACATAAAACTACATTTTGAATTAAAGTGATACTTGCTATACAAAGTATAAAAGACATATAAATCAATACATCTTGAATTTATGTGGCATTCACATATGCATCAGATTTTCAAAAATGGAGTGAAGAAGATGAATGTTGGAAAGGGAGAATGAAGATGGACAAAAAAAAATACTTCATGTCTACGTTATAAAAGATGAATGGAGTGAAGAAGATGAATGGTATTTAATAATATTAAAATTATTTTACAATTGTACATGGAGTGAAGAAGATGAATGGTATTTCTACGTTATTCTTTCGTGTACAATTATTTACTCAAAGTTTTATTTTAATAATATTAAAATTATTTTACAATACAATGCACTACCTGACTCGACATATATGTGCGGCGCACGTGTCGAGAGACTAGTTGTTATAAAATAAAGAAATACTTACATAAACATATCAAAAAAATAGAATAGTCGCCACTCGCTTAGCCATAGAATCTATTACACTAAAAAGACCCATGAAAAAAAAATAATCTTTAGTAGGTGTGATTGAAATTCGTTGGAAATACATGGACGAGGATATATACAAAATTGAGGCAAATTGGAGGTGAGTTTGACTAGTTTGGAATCAAAATTTGTCGCTGCAATCGAATTGAAGAAACATCAGTATCACATGTGTATATTATTATATATCCATGTATAATACAAACAGGTAGACATGAATATACATAGATATACAGGGAGCTGTATAAGGATACACAAATATACAACGTACTACACATAGATATATACTGATTTTGCTACCAAATGCGTTAGGTATTTGAAATCTGAATGTAATTCCAACTCAACTCTCTCAAATCTCCTTTAAAGCTCTAGTACAACAACAATAACTACGCTTCACGTAATTAGCTTCGAAAATTTTGTTCAAATTCGTTTCAAATCAGCTTCAGATGAACAAAAATTTCAATAACAGGTTCCTTCAAACAATAACAACAGAATCTAATTCTGTTGATTCCTTGCACTACTTTTTTTCTTTTCAGATTTCTAACTCTCGAGCTAGCCATTGCTGCGTAGCATTCCTCCAAATAGCCTACTGCTCCGGAGGTTGCGCATGGTTTTGGGTCACTACTAGCCATGAACTATGCTTTTTTTCGATTCAGATTATGCAGTTAAATTTGGATCTACAAGTTCTGATCTTTTCTGTTTGAGATTGTTGTGCTACCTTATAAGAAGCTTCGAAACTTCTCTAGTAGAAGAGAAGCACAGAACCGAAGTGTTAGGCACTGAACAAAAAACTAGGGCTAAAGTGGATGATAGTTGAAATTGTGCCAAAATGGATATTTATTTATTTTCATTTTAGTCATATTATGTAGTTTTCTCTAAAATTAATTTCCAATTAAAAATTCTTTCTTTCCAAAAACTTAAGGAGAACAAATGCCACATAAGAGTTAGGATAAAACTTGTTAGTGAAATGTATAACAGATCCGTTCCGAACGACAGAATTTCGAGATGATAAAATAAAGACCTTAAAAAGTAGCGAAATAGACCTTAGAAAGACCAACCACTAACGAGTTTAAAGTGGTTTACTAGGCATATAAATTTCAAGGATCGTACTTTCAGATGACGAGATTGTAAGATAGGAAAGCAAATATCTATTGGAAAAATTAGCAAATTCTGCTTACCAACGTTGTGTAGTCCCTTGCTAGGCCAAAAGGAATCATGTAATTTGTGCTGGCAACTTTTAAATTGAGGTAAAGAAAATTAAACAACTTTTAGCGGGGTTAAAGCATAGCTTTTTTTGCTCGGAGTAACCCCGTTTAGTTTTTAAAAAAGCATCTATGAAAGCTGGAACATGCAGATGACAGAAATCATTTGGGTCAAGTCCATTCCAGACTAGAATTTAATGCGGGAGGATTAGATGGTAGCTTCATACTCACCATTGCTTCTTCCCCTTTTTCTTTCTCTTGCTTCCACTAGCGCTGTTGCTAGTACTAGTGCCAGCTGATCTCTGTGGTGTGCTGCCATCAAAATCGCCAAACGTACCAGATTGTACGGCATTCTGTAGCCACTCAACAAATTCCTCCTCGGTCATGGTCTCTTCCATATTTGGGCCTCTTTGTCCTGAGCTACTTCTCTTCCCATTGCTGCTCTTCATTGTATTTACATGGAAGCTTGGCTTGTGACTGTTGACCGGACATCTCATTCCCTGCATCCCCAGCATAATGTGAACTAGATTATCTAAGATACAGAGGTGCACTTGCTCAGTTGTTTTCAATGATTAACCAACTTTACAACATCTAGAGCCACCCTTCCATTTTGAAATAGGTGAGCATTTTCTGTTAGCTCAAAAGAGATGCTCATTTATGGGAGTTAATCTTTTTCCTAAATATGGAGAAAACAACAGTATAGCACATGGCATATAAAACTCAACATCATCCAAGCTTAACAAGTAACTGGTGATGGATTTGATTTTTTAAGTGGCATTTCAACCACCTCCAGGCCTCCACCCCCACCCCCCAAATAAAAAAAGAAACATAAAAAAATTATTAAACCACACTATTAACTTTTGTTCACCTTCTATGGTATCTGAAGAAAACTTGCCAAGTCGGGTACCTTATCTTGATGATAAAAAGCAAAAAGAATTCAATGAAAACTACAGTAATGCACTTTTGACCTTATAGTCCTAACAAGTTGTTCTCATTTCCCGGACCAATTCCATTCAAACGTTCAGAAAAAATCGAAACCTTGTACCAGATGGTGAGAAGAAAAACTTTACCTGACAGATATACCATTCAGTAGCATTATAGATCCTGCTATCAGCACAAACATAGGCAACAGGGTTATCTACCTGCACATATTGGTGGATATCAATAGTGTCACATATACCGCAAGGATGAGAGAGAGAAATAAAAAACTAAAGAAAAAACAAAATACTTAAAGGAGAAACTCGTCATGAAAGAAAGTCTTCTCAAAAGCTTTTGCTTTTTTCATTTTGTTCGATTAGTTGATACCTTCAGTAGCATTCCAAAAAAGAATGGATGTGAAGGCTGTTCAACCCATCCATCTCCATCTTTTGCTGGATGAAAATCATTGCATTCCTATGAATGGAAGAGTAAAAGGTAAATATCCTAATAAAAAAACATATGCTAGAGAGGAGGAAGACAAACTAGAATGTATGGTTAAAGTGCACAGAATTCAAGAATTTATAACATGCGTATATTGTCGCTGGAGGGAAAACCTGGCACCATCTTGCTTTGGACTTTGTTTTCTTAGTGACAACCCAGACATGAAAGTTGCCACACTTCTTGCAAGTAATTCGTCGAGCGTCTGCAAGAGAATCCTCTGCCGCAGCTTCTGTCTGTGTGAATCCAGAGGTGAAGAACCCATAGCCTCTACCCTAAAATTGTTTGGTTAAGCATGAGACAGAGTTAAGTGAAAGTATAATCCAACATTACAATCACGCTTCAGGAGTATTTTCCAAATATAGTTTCTGGTACAAGATGATCCTTCCCCGTAAATACCTAGGACCTACAAAGACATGGGACTGCATTTAGAGCAAGACCTTTACTGATAGATGTCATTACTTATATGATGAACCTACAGGGGCTCATTCATACGAGTCAACCAGGCAAAGTAGGCAAAAGAGTTAAGACTTAAGAGTGCATGTGAAAACCCATTATTACTTAAAGCGGTTCCTATTAAGAACTTTCTCCCAGCTGGTTTCTTCAGCAAAAGGTGATGACCGAGGGCTTAAAGGCATATATCTTTCACAAAACATAAGATTTGTCAAGGACTTCACCAATCTCTTGTTTCAGTTAGATATCATTTAAAAGTTCCTTATCTATTGTAGAAAAAGAAAGTTGCAAAAATTGAAACAAAACATCTTTTTGCTAAACTCACTGCATATTTGACATATGCATAAAATGTCAAGTCTAACAGATGAACTAATTAGATGACTCAAAATTATTATTTTTGTGAGAATGGTTAATTAGATGACTCAAAATTATATTAATTCAAACCTTCTGCGAAGGACTTTGGAACCGCCGAAGGTAGTCCAGCAGCTCTTCCCTCCTCAATTCATCATCATATGCCTTTCGCTTTAAAGAATCAAGTAAGACCTGAAATAATCCAATTCTTACCAAGTGCAGAAATGAACACCAAATAGAGAACTCAAATCACAAGACAATCTGTACCTCATAGGCGTTTTGAAGTTTCTTAAAAGCTTCAGCAGCCTTTTCATTGCCCATGTTTTTATCAGGATGAACCAGCATTGCCTAATAGAAGATATACTTTAGCTGATTGGTAATATTTTGACTTCGATAGCAATGCATTTCTAGTTAATCTAGCATTATCAGACTTCAAACAGCATGATGTTCAGAAAAATCAGATACGAATATTTTGAGAGTAAGAATTTCAGGAGGGTACAGAAGAATCACCTTTTTCCTATATTCTTTCTTGAGAACTGAAGCATCTATATTCTGAAATCGGCTCAGGCCCAGTGCTGAATAGTGATCTGTACTGTTTAACAATCTGAGAACTTCGTCTTCAGATGTCATATCAGTGTCAGATCCACTAGTTGAAGGGATCCCAGTGCCACGATCAGCTGTATGAACATACGCATCATCAGCAGATGGAGGCACTGATCCACCAGAATAGAAGCTAGGTTCACCTTGTACTCCAGTTGTTTGATCAGGAAAGCTGTTTGGCCTTCTATGATCATTTACATTGTTTCTTAAGAAGAATATGAGAATATCACTCGAAACAAATGATAAATTCAAACCAAAGATTAAACCAATCCATCCGACATATGTCCATGCGCAATATACAGAATACAAATTTATGACAAACACCGCAAGCCGTTCATGCTTCAACCTGTAAAGCACTCCTAAATTTAAAAAGAAAAACAGCACTTAGTGGAAAAAACTGGAATCAATGTGATAAAAGTAAAAGCAACTGCTCAACACTAAAGCTTAAAAGTAATCACCTCCACTCAAGACCAGAAGCACCGCTGCCCAAAATCTTCCATAGAACCACAAGTAACTGATGCTCACTGCAGCAACTCCTAGAACTGCGATGATGAACCCAGTAAGAAGTCCAATCACAGCAACTGCTGCCTGAATGTTAACAGCAATTCATTACAGCAAGATGATTGAAAGGTCTCATATATGCAGTTTAACGGAAAGAATATAATCAATGATTACAAAGAAAACACAAAGGCAGAGAGTGACCACAGGAAACTCCACAAAATCAAGCCACTAATTTATAAAATTTACAGTCTTAGAAACTGCTGAAGAAATTGGTCAGTGCCCAGAATGAAAAGAAATATTTCACTTAAAAACTATAGTGACCACCTTCAGTAATTCAAGAAGCATTAACAAAATAAGATGGAGTCATGGAGCAAAATATACACAGTCAAAATCAGTAAAAGTCAACTATTAGAATCTCACAGCATGAAATGGTCAAACTCAATAGTGGACACTGATTTTTGTCCAAAACAATTTAAACAAAATCACACTTTTAGAAATGACCAAAACTAATTTAGTGACTTGGGGAAAACAATCCATAGCTCCTCAAAGCGATTTCCGGAATTCTGGTTCAGCATGAAATCATTCATGAGGCAACCCAAAGATGAGAAGCAATTAGGGTTAGATATATATGCTCACAAACACCTTTTATTATTTGAGGGGTGAAGATGTTGTTTTCCATGCAAGAAAAGAAGCTAGTCGCTTACCAAAATCAGTAGAAACTTGAATTTAGCGGCTGCAATCAAAGATAGAACACCCCACCAGATGACTGAGAGAATTGAAGTCATCCCCATGCATAGAAAGGACTCAATTCCTCTAAGAGCACAATCCAACCAAACCATTGATAATAGAATAATTATATTTCCAAAATGCATGATCCACCTAACCACTATAGGATATGCATGCTGAACCCTTTCTTGAACATACCCAGTCGCAATGAATAAATTGTGCATGATCCACCGAACCACTATAGGGTATGCATGCTGAACCTTTTCTTGAACGTGCTTACTCGCAATTAATAAATTGCTCCTTAAAGGGTCAAGCAAAGGTTTCCACCTCTCTAACCACTGAATTGATGCCTTTGAGACAGACAGAGCCAATGTCATCAAGTTCCTAAAAACTACGATAATAGACACTTTAAAATTTTCTAATATATTGTCTCTATCTAATCCTGTTCCGAACTGGCCAAAACTTCCCTTTGAATTGTCTGAGCGGTGACTAGTATGCGGAGACGTCTCACCACCTTCTCTTGACTCGGGAGTCACCCCTCTACTTTTATGACTATGGAAAATTCCTGCACCACTGCCTTCTTCAGGCCCTATTTCCTCTGCAGTTGACAATGTATCAATATCTTCCTTTTCCTTTTTAAGTGATCTTCTAGATTTGTGCTTGCTTTTCTTGCCTTCACTTTCATGTGTATTGTTGAAGCTCTCTGTTAGAGATATGCCGGAAAGATTACCATTAAAAGGTTCTGCATTTTTGCCCTCTGCCTCAGTCAGACTACTGTTTTCATTCTCATTTACCAATCCAGATCCAGAAACTGAAACTCCTTTTCTGTACTTCTGTCGGTTTCCTTTACGGGCCATTGACCAGAAATGGTATCAAAGAATGGTCTAACAACAAGCCAGTTCAACTCATCTCTAGTGCCCTCATTCAATATCGAAAGACCTGTGTCACAAGCAATTCATAAGTAAGCAAAATTTCAAGAAATTGCAAGCACCAACAAATAGCTTTAAGGTGTTCACCAGTTAGATAGCCAAACAATGAACACGTAAACAGTGGTATCTTATTCCTCATGCATGTAACTCAGTCAAATTAGCTTTGTTCACCATTGGCAGCCGTGACTGTAAAGACAAAAGCATTCTCCTTGTGCTTATTCCCTCAACTATAGCTAATAATAGACACTTTGGCTTTACAAAATTGGCAAAATTTCAGATCTAGGCAGATATACGAAAGGGAAGTTTTTGTAACTATCATTCAGTCACTCATACTCCATCAGAAATTTATCATTTATCATTAACCACTTCTTTCTCTGCACTATGCTGTCATCTTCCCTAGATTTCCCTTGATCTAGTCGTGTTATCAGTAAAGCATTGTGTGCTCTCCATTACAATCATTTTCGTTAAGCAGGAAACAACTAATCATCCAATAAAAGGAGCAATACAAGGAATTAATAATGTTATGATCCAACATCACCGATTTACTAGCACCAATCTCAAAAGACGAATTTGAATGAGTTTCTGCGATGTATTTAATAAGAAACATAAAATACAAGAGAAGTTATTGGTTATCCTTTAGAATCATATTGAACTTAAAACATATGGTATCTTTTCATTATATGTTAAACTTTTGGAGAAGGTAATCTTTTAGAATGTACAAAATAAAATCTATCTTTGGGAGAGTCCAATCAGGTCATAAGGTAGGATAGAGGAACTGAATTAAACCAGGGCATAGCTTCAGCATGAGAATTTGGTGATATATCAATGTGAACTGTGCAGTAGAACAATACTACGCCACCTGAAGCTAACTTCCTAAAATCAGAGAATGAATGAACACAAGTTTGAGTCTAATTCTGTGCCTAAGGAAAAATTATAAGTACTGCAATAAGAAAAAATTAAATAATGCATTCTCTACTTTGGATGTCTAAAATTTTGTCCACTTATTAAAGTGTAGGACTTTTTATAGCAAAAGAACATTTGCTGATGTAGAAGGGAAAGGTTATATAATGTGGACATCATGATATCAATTGAACACAGACGAAGCACTAACAATCAGTGTTATTAAAGGCTCTTTCAAGGTGCGCTTATGCTTTGAAGCTTAGTTAAAGACAGGTTGTGCACTTCGCCTCGATAAAGTAGCACTTAAGTGTAGGCACTAAAGTGCAAAGGCTGTGCATCATCACTAATGGGCTCTATCTCTAAGAAGGCAGCACTAGATAATAAATATATTTGGTAAACGATACATTTATTGTTAAAAAACGCTATGCATGATCTTTTCAATGACAGGAATAAGAAATTAAAATTTTGTATAAGAAAACTAGCTCCAGAAGACATAAACTACATCTTTTCATCTGCATCAGAAATTCGAAATGATTTTTAAACTTGATTGATATGATTTTACTTCATTTACTCTGCTTGATTTCATTTTTTCTTCATTAATTCTTTTCTTTGTTCAGACTCACGCTTAAATTCCGCGCTTTGCGCTTAAAGGCCCGACAGATTTGGCCTTTAACTGCGACTTACTTTTGACTATTTTTTTTTTTTTGCGCGACTAGGCATTTCATTAATTACCAATTACCAAGTGAAACAATACAAAACCGGCAAGACCAAAGCTCAGTCTCCTGCTCCTAGAAACTGACCACTCCAACTATAAAGACTAAACTGAGTGTATGAAATCTTGAAGCACACCTCCTAGGGAGAGTTTCTTCAAAGTTTCCATACTCGGACTAACAATTAAAACTCCTATTACATCAGACAGACTAGTTAATGGAAATATAACTTTTGAAGTAGACACGTAACTGTCTCTGATGTTCTCACATTGCAAATACATGCTATGCCTTTTGCAATACTATCACAGTGTCTCTTGCAAACTATGTAGCACAGACTCTCCAAAATGTTGCGCACTCGTGTCGGATCCTCCAGAAATACGCTACTTTTGAAGGATGTATTTTTGTAGGATCCAACACGCAACCCGTGATGTCTTCGGAGAGTCCGAGCAACATAGCTTGCAAATAACTTTGATTACTTTGCTAACAATGCAGATTGTTGACATTATTACACTAAATATACCCTTGCAAATAGCTGTTGAAAAATAGATTCATATAGTTTCTCCATTTGAAATTGGACGTCATATATTCCTTTTTTCGCCCACCAAACTAAGCCCCCGTTTACTAATACAGCCAAAGATGAAATGACTTCCTCTTTAACTACCCCAACAAAGTAAAATTAACGAAAAGTAACATCATAATTTTTCACTTTGGCACACACTTCACCAATTTAAGATTTTGTCGTTTGGCAACATTTTATGCTTAAAATCCTATATAGTCAGCTTATGGTTTTTAATTGGAAAAGAAGGAAGCAATACTTCATTTCTTGATGAGCTCATTTAATCTGTGAAATTGTGGCCATCACTTTTAATAACATGAATATATGTTTGTTACAGTATTAGGGATACTGCAAAACCTGGATCCTATTCTGCAGAGATACAGTAATTTCACCCTCCCTGCACATCCCAATCTTGATAAAACACCAATAATAACCAAACATTTGAATTACAAGTAACACTGAATTTATAAAACTATTATACAAGCAGAAAACAAAAGTAAGACGATACATTCTGTATCTATAGGGGTAACAACAACAACAACAAACCTAGTGAAATTCCACAAGTTGGGTTTGGGGAGGGTAAAGTGTACGCAGACCTTACCCCTACCTTATGACGGTACAGAGGTTGTTTCCGAAAGACTCTCGGCTCAAAAACAGTGAAAATGAAGGAATAAACATACAATAGTAACAACACGGTAATAAGACATGAAAGCAAATGGTGCAACGTGCAATAACAAAGATCTAAGAATACGACACTACAAGAATAGAGTCAATCCTACTGGAAATAATGATACATCGTGTAATAGCAAGGGGCTAGGAATAGGAAAATACAAGACTAGTACTACTACAGTAATACTACTGGAAAGACTAGGCGAAACTCTAGACTGTCTGTTATCCCACAACCCTAATTCTCGACCTCTACACCCTCCTATCGAGGGTCATGCCCTCGGTAAGCTGAAGTAGAGTCATTATTGCCTAGTCACCTCACCCCAGTACTTCTTAGGCCTCCATCTACCCCTTCGCTGACCCGCCATGATCAACCTCTCACAACCTCCTAATCGGGGCATCAGAGTCTCTCCTCTTCACATGTCCGAACCATCCCAGCCTTGATTCCCGCAACTTATCTTCCACAGGAGCCACACGCACCTTGTCCCTAATATATTCATTCATAATCTTGTCTTTCCTGGTATGGCCACACATCCATCTCAATATCCCCATTTCCTCTATTTTCAACTTCTAGACACGAGATTTCTTGACTGGCCAACACTCGGCTCCATACAACATAGTCGGTCTAACTACCGCTTTGTAGAACTTGCCCTTAAGTCTAGGTGGCACGTTCTAGTCATACAAAACACCAAAAGCGAGCCTCCATTTCATCCACTCCGCTTCAATATGATGTGCGATATCCTCGTCGATCTCCCCGTTACCCTGTAATGCAGATCCAAAACTATCTCTCCTGGGATGACTTGTGTATCAAGCTTCACGTCGACTTCTGCTTCATGTGCCCCAACACTGAACTTACACTCCAAGTATTCTGTCTTCGTCCTGTTCAACTTGAAACCTTTAGACTCTAGAGTCTGTCTCCACACCTCCAGCCTAACATTAACCCCGCAACGCGTCTCGTCAATCAGCACTATGTCATCTGCAAATAACATACACTAGGGCACCTCTCCTTGAATGTGTCACGTCAACACATCCATCGCTAGGGCAAATAAAAATGGGCTAAGAATTGATCCTTGATGCAACCCCATCACCACAGGGAAATAATCCGAGTCTCCTCCCACAGTCCTCACCCGAGTCTTAGCTCCATCGTACATGCCCTTAATCACCCTAATGTACGCTACCGGAACACCGTTAATCTCCAAACATCTCCATAACTATAGATATACATTTTTAGCAGCACATGTCGATGCTGAAATGTTGACCTCTCGAACTACCTACTGTTGTTTTTCTAACAAATACAGTCCTGGGTGGCAAGATTTGGGAGCACACTTTGAGGAATACTTGTCCTAAACTGGTTAAGCAGAAAGCACAGATTTTGCACAGCTGTAATGCTAAGCGTTGGCTTGGCACATTGCCTAATTGAAATGCCCAAAAGGACAACAGTAGGACAATGGTCTAAGACATTATCAAATTAAAAGTTTTCAATACTCAAATTTGATCAAATGGACAAATTATAAAATCCAAATTAATTATGAGACTGATCCAAGAATTGAAACTTGAAGCACTTCATCCAAAAGAGACAGAACTGATCACGTTTTCTATTGTTGTGCAATATAAGTAACCAGAAGATTAGATATTTCTACTCCAACACTAGCCTCCACACCCAAAACAAATGCCGTCCAGCCAAAAAGAAAAGTTCATCGGTTGGTAAATTTGCTCAATTTAGAAAAGCACCGCTTTACAGCAGAACAAGAACCACCCAACAAGATTATGCGGCGCATATCATTGTACTAACACAAATATATATACAGTGTTTATGTCCCATCAAAGGTCCTAAACAAACTACTATACTTTTGATATGATTCCATATTTTCTTGATTTTGAGCTAAAGCAGAATACCCTAGATATTAGACTAAACCCTTTGAAATATGAAATCCAAAAAAGAAGAAAAGAAATACATGAAGAATAAATAGACCCATATGTCAAAATATAAAACGTAAAGCAAGAAAAGCTTACTAGAACAGTTGAAAGGATGGAACAAGGCAGTGCGTAAATATGGAGCAGCCGAACACCAAAAGGAAGAGATTAGGCAATTACAAGGACCACAGCTAATCAAGACTTAGTCGAGCAGTCAACAGTCGCCACAACTCGCAGAGAGAGAGGAACCCAATAGTCTTCAATCCAAGCCCCCGTACTTCAAATGGTCTCTTCCGTAAATTTACTAGAGCACATGAATCTTTAGATGGAAAAAAAAGGTTTGTTTTTCTTTAAGGAAAAAAAATCGCATGTAAGGGGAAGGAGAAAACAAAGTAAAAAGGGGAAAAAATAAATGTAAACCTATTGTGTACAAAACGCAAAACGCACATCAGTACAACTATAATATGAGACTTATATAGTAAAATGTTTGGTTTTAGTTGAATGTAGTGATTTTGGCTTTTATTTCTTTTGAAAACAAATTGCTATTGATTGTTTGGCCAAACTTTTAGAATCAGCTTATTTTGAAAAGTATTTTTCTCAAAGGTGCTTTTCAAAAATTACTTTCGGTGAGAAGCAGTTTGTGTTTGGCTAATTAATTTGAAAAGTACTTTTGAGCATCAATTAGTATTTCACCAAACTTTTTAAGAAGTGTCTTTAAGTGTATTTTTCTCACAGTTCTTTTTAAAAAGTATTTTTGGGAAGAAGTTACTTTTTTCTACTTCTCAAAAATTATTTTGCTTCTACTCAAAAGCACTTTTTCCTTCTAAAAACTTTGCCAAACACCTTAACTTTGGAAAAAAATATGTTTGGCCCAAAAAAGTACTTTCGGCCAAGAAAAGCTTGGACAAA